GGGCCAAAACCATATTATCATTGTTGCCGGTGGTAAAAAGTGAAATAGTCACTGATGAAAAAAAAGTCCGAAAGGTACGCAAACGTTTAAAAAAGGCTGCAAATCGGACTAAAGTCCGCAAACGGCAACACTGCATATTATTAATTTTCCTGTCATTATCTGTAATTTCTAGATTAGTCGTAGAGTACGAGCCATGAGGAGTAACGTGACACGACATCTGGTGGACACAAGCGAAATAGGTAGTACCTTCTATCGCTAACAGATGGCCCTAATACACGTACAGAAGTCAGTTCCTATGACACTGTTGTGAAATAAAATAGTGCGTACCTCCTTAAAACGTGTTTGTGCGTGTTTAAGTTTAAGACATCTTTGTAACAATATTTTGATTTGAATTGTTGCTTTTGTGTGTGATTTAGTAGTATAGAAAAGAAGCGAAAATTGATAGTGAATGCAGAAAATTCAAAGATCAGTGGAACATTCAGTATTTCGTAATTGAGTCCAGTAACAAGGCGCTATGTTTTGATTTGCAATGAAAGCATAGCCGTTCTCAAAGAATATAACATTAAAACGTCATTATGAAACAACATTTTTCAAAATTAACTCAAAATATACAGGAAGTTTGCGGACAGAAAATTCGAAGCTATGAAGCCGGATTGAAATAGCAGCAATCTTCATTTACAAACTCAAAACTGAACAGAGGCTGCAACTCGTGCCCAGCTTTCGTGTGGTTCTTGAATCTTCATTCAAACTGCTTGGATTTCATTTCAAAAACTCGGATTCATTCCGGATTCATTTCGGATTCATTTCAAAACTGCATTGCAATCTTCATTTACAAAACTCAAAACTGAACAAGAGGCTGCAACTCGTGCCAGCTTTCGTGTGGTTCTTGAAATTGCAAAACGTGGAAAACCATTCACCGATGGAGAAATGATCAAAGAATGCATAATTGCAGTAGCCGAAGAAATATGCCCTGAAAAGGTAAATTTATTAAAAACTGTCAGTATGTCAGCAAACACTGTGGCTCGAAGGGTAGAAAACATCGCTGAAAATATATCCTCTCAACTGTTCGACAAAAAGGGACATGTTGAGTGGTTTTCTTTGGCCTTGTATGAGTCAACGGATGTGTCAGGTACTGCTCAGGTGTTGATTTATATTCAAGGAGTAGATAAAAGCTATGAAGTGCATGAAGAACTTCTTGATATGTATAGTATTCATGGCACAACTACTGTACAGATATTTTTAAAGAGTTGAATGGCCATTATCAAAAGACCTTCGATGGAAAAACTTGAAATGTATTACAACTGATGGAGACAAAAACATGAGTAGGAAAGATAAAGGAGTGGTCGCTCTTGTGTCAAGGCTGTAAAATGACGGTGGTTCAAAACCATTAGTCTTACACTGTATCATTCATCAACATTCTTTGTGGCGAAAATGTTTGGATGTCTGAAGTTCTGAAACCAGTCATATCAACTGTTAATTTTTATCAGATCTTTTGGGTTGAATCACCGACAAATCCGACAATTTATGAAGAGATTGGAGAAATAACTTACCTTATCATACTGCCGTACGTTGGCTTAGTTGTGGGAAGTCCTTCAGCGCTTTTTTGAACTTCGAGCAGTGATCGAAATTTTTTGAATGAAAAGCATCGCCCTCTTCTGAATTACAAAACAACGCATGGCTGTGGAAGTTAGAATTCTATGTTGATTTGACAAAACATGTGAACGAACTGAATTTGCAAGGAGATTGCAAGGAGAAAACCAGCATCTTCCTGATTTATACCACTAATATCAAATCATTCCGGAAGAAATTGATACTGTTTCAATCACAACTACGAAGTAAATGTTTTTCACATTTTAAAACATGTGAAATATTCAGCCACACCACTGAGACTGAGTTTCCTATCGATTTTGCAATCGAAACTTTGAGTGCTTTGAAAATAAATTTTGATACTCGTTTCTCGGACTTTGATGCCATTTCGAATCAAATTAAGATTTTTTCAGAATCCTTTTTGATACTGACATTGAAACCCTAGCCCCGGAACTTCAAATGGAAATAATTGATCTACAGTGCAGTGATATAATTAAGAACAAATATCAAAACTCATCTTGTTGGAATTTTATAAGAGTCTTCCACTGACACAATTGATAATTTGCATAAATTTGCTCGTGGGCTGTTTTTCTGTTTTTGGTACTACTTATTTTGTGTGAGAAGACCATCTCCAAAATGAAGTACGCAAAAATGTTTACAGATCTAAATTAACTGATGAGCATCTTAAATCTCTTTAATAATTGGGTACAAGTAAAATTAGTCCACACTACAAACTATTGTCAGTGAAAATCTCAATTACATAAATCTTATTAGTATTTCATATGTCATTATGCTTGTTATAAGTTATGTTTTTATTAAAATGTATAAATGTTTAGTTGGATTCATTTCAATAATTTGTTAGTTATTATATACTGAATTAAATTTTCTGCATATTATACAGTCTTTACTCATTACAATTCTGTGTTTCTTTATCCACTTATCACAAAAACAATAACAATAAGCCTACAACAATGTTATGAGTAGTTAGCCCACGACCATATCAATGTAGATGTCATATTAATAATTATTCAACATAAAATTAGAATACTTCAGTAAACTAAATTTAATTTGCTATAAAAAATATGTTCTCTAAAAGGAGTTTTCAAGTATGCTAGCTCTCCGCGAGCCGGATAAAATCTGTCCGCGGGCCGGATGTGGCCCTCGGGCCGTAGTTTGGAGACCCCTGCTTTAAAGGAGTGAAGAGTTTGTCACTTTAATTTGCTTATCGGTTTTTCACTTGCAGTATATTTATATTATTTGATTTGAAGTCAATGGTACAAACTAGCAATTTAATGAAAAAGAAAATGACCGGCACTGAATCCTAATAAAAGCATTGGCAGGGTAGTAGAAGTTTTGTTGATTGTTTTTTATGCTACAGCTAGACTATATATGAAAACAAATGGTTTTAACAGAAACGAGTTGGCAGGGAAAGTTTACAGTCACAGCCAGCGTCCAGTTATTTAAATATTTATTCGACGTAGTTCCGTGATGCAGGCATAGCTTGGAAAGCAGTTTTTTAATGAAAGATAACATTCCAATATAAGAATCATTCCAAAATAATTCTTTCAACAGAAAACATAAGAAGCCCACAACTAAACAAAACCAGCTGTTGATAAACCACGAAGACAACATGCCGTTTGTGAAACAACCAGTGACGAAGCTTTCTTCTCCGCTTCTTTTCTATGAGTAGAGATAGATCTCAGGCATAGGACGCTTAAGTGTTGTTTCAGGGTGTGCAGAGTAAAGCCTGGAAATAAACACTAATGGAAAATGAAATCGCAACATCAAGAAGGAATTCTGCTAGATAAAGGCGTATTTGCACATTTGAAAGATGATGTTTTATTTAAATTTCGCGCTAGGCAAATACGTATAGTATTAGCAGGGTTACTATGAACATGCTTGCCATTTTTTATGAACACTATGAAATTGTTTGTTCTAAGTACGCAAAGTAAACTTTGTCTACTTTATCTTCTAGTCTGAACTTTGTGAGCAAGAGTTCCTTTAAGGAGACGAAGAAGGCGGAATCAGAAGCTTACTGAGCTTGAAAATCGCCGCGTAATAGGACTACAAGAAGGTAAATTTTCTTTTCACTATATTTTAGAAAGATCTGGCAGGGATATATTCACAGTGCATGCGTGCTGGCAGTAGTAGAATCCAACTATCTGCTGCGCAGACACATTGATCCCACACCAAGAATTATGATTTGGAAAGCAGTTTTCTATTACAGAAGAAGTACTTTCCTCATTATCCCGCACACCTTGATAACAAATTAGTACGTCAATGGGGTTACAGAGTGTCAATATGTTGCTTTGGCCTACGAGATCAACCGATATTTCTACGAAAAAGAATGCGACATGATTGAAAGACAAATCCAGCATCATCCATAACCAGTGGTTGCTGATTTTAAAGACCATGTGCAAAGCGTATGGAACTCAATCCCACAAATGGCATAGGACACTTTAGGACACTTGTACAAGCGCGTCTGCATGCTTTCATTCAGCATCGTTGCGACTGCAACAGTTATTAAAATGTACCACTATTTCACATTTGAAACGGCTCTTCTCGGGCATTCTTTTACCTGTGACTTTGAAACATTAATTAAATAAATATGTTACCTAGAAGCTAAACGCTATTTCCCTAATTACCCAGAATTATTCGTTATTAATTTCTGAAATTACTGAGACATAATTTTAAACGTCGTGTTATATTATGTCATATTTTGTTCATAAATATATGTAAATCATGAATGCATAGTTTAATATGCGTTTAACGCACATTCAGACTTTATTATTTCGCACTGTTATACTTTGTGATTAAAGTCTTTGCTTATACAATGAGAACGACATTTATCTGTACATTTCCATTCGATACAAATAATCGTATTTTTATTTTCAGAGCGAGAAACTGCAAATATCCACCATTCATTAGCAGGGATTCCAATCACAGATTTTTTAAATCTTAGCTGTAATTTTTAATAATTTACTACAAGAGAAATGCAGAAATGCGAGTATTCTTTACAAGCTCCACATGTAAAGAGCAACTGAGAAGAGGCCTGAATCAAATCTGCTGGCAACGCATCGTCTACCATATTTTAGATTTGATGGCACTGGAAATATTTTTGGCTTTTCTTAGACAGAAAGCGATAAAACTTAAAAAGTTCATAGACAGAAATGAAGTGCGTCTTCTCCAAGATACGAAGCTCGCATCTTCAAATTGCTAGCTGTAATTTCCAACCATTTGCACCCCGGCAGCACACCCGGGATCGCAAAAGATTCAGAACCCCTCTTTTATAATTTACTTGACATACTGTAACAAAAATGTAGAAAAAATGAATAAAAATATTTGAATTACTTATGACTTTTATTAAAATTTTGTAAACTGAAAATTTGCTTAAAAATGTTCTGCTTGCTTACCATCGTTATCCAGATGTCCATAACTATAAATTGGTTTTTTTCATCCTAAAAAAGGAGATCAAAATTTTTACTTATATTTAGTCAAAAAAATTAAGATATGTGTTCTTTATAAAATAAAGATTTATATTTCTTTCATCTACAATAGACTAAAAATAGATTATGATTATGTTGCATATGAGGACATGCAGTAACATATAACAAAAATAGTTTTTAAAAATGCAGTGAAATCTAATAAATACTTTTATGTAACATGAAATACGGTCAAATGCAATATAGAAATGAGATAAAATTTGACAGTGCCAAATAAAAGTAAAACAATGCATTATCTCCTCTGTCACACATAAATGCTTGGATACTTATATAGAGGCCGGAGTGAAATTTATCGCGCTTTTTCCCAGCAACTCAAATAATTCCTAGGTGGGGTACCTATACATACATAACCACAAAAGAAGCAGTAAAGCGTAAGTAGAAAATATAGGTCCATCCCCAATTGATCACTGAGTGCATAAGGCACATTTGCATGTTTGTCTTTTTTTAACTCTATAGCAGTCAATAACATAAGAATAGCTGCAGACCCACAAACTTAAGAATAAGCGAAAAAAGGCATACATGAAAGTTTGTCATTTTTCTGAACTTTACAGTATTTAATAAAAGAATAGCTCTAGCAGTGCAAATTTGTGGATTAGCGAATAAGGCATTATGCACCGATTTGTGTTTATGCACCGATTAGATTAGCGAATAAGGCATTATGCACCGACTGCATTTTTCTAAACTTTACAGTATTTAATAAAAGAATAGCTCTAGCAGTGCAAATTTGGGGATTAGCGAATAAGGCATTATGCACCGATTTGTAGTTTTCAGAAATCTGCAGCTTTCAATAAAAGAATAGTTCAAGATACTTAAACTTGAGAAGTCTTTATCGGACTGTAGACGTAATCCAAAATCTAGAAAAATCATGTCGTTAGAAAATCCAAATTTCATATCATTTATTTAATACCTCCATTATAATTTTTTAATTTGATTTGTAATGCAGCCAAATTCTGCTACAGCAAACGCTATAAAGAATGAACTTTCCCATCTTGTTTATTTAATGTAATTTTATGTTGCTGTACAGAATCTTCATATGCATGAAAATCGTTCACACGTATGCAAAATTAAGAGAGTTTGCAAATTATACCTATTTTTACGAAAATTATTAAATAAGGGCTAATTAGGCCTCCGAAGAATTATGCAACTGTTCAGAGTCGAATACATAAGCGAATACCAGCATGTCTGCAGACCTGTGATAGTGGAGAGGATATAAACGCAGTAGGGGCTTTCGGCGGTTTTTATGTGCTCGTACCCCTTCACGACATTCTCCGTGTTTCTCATAAGAACTGGGTAAATTTTATCAGGTATCAGATGAAATGAATGGCCACAAACGTATGGATGACGCAATGAGATGACGAATTGTCGGTAGATTGGAGGTAGGCCAATCACAAGTGAAGGTGTCTACAGAGTTCAGTGTAACGTCCAATGTCGTCTTCAGTTTTTGGAAACAGTTTAAGAACACTAGATCCATATCGAGATGAGATGAGCAAGGTCGAACAAGATGCACAACTATTATTTATTATTACTACAACTCATTAGGCATTTTCAGCTCGGCAATATAGAACTGCTACACTCTCGTCTGCAATTTGTGGAACCAGTTTCAGAATACATATCGAAAAGACCTGGACAAGATCAATCAAGACCCACAACGACGACTGAGATTCGTTATTTAGCACTTTCAGTGCTGTTACAGAGAACTGCTACAGCTTCTCGTGAGCTGCATGCTGCCACTGGAACCTGAGTTTCACTGTCTAAAGTTGCCCAAAAGCTTCATAAGATAGAGTTGTATGCCAGAAGACCTGCTATCTGAGTCCAGCTCACAGTAGTGTACAACAGAGTTCATTTGCAGAAAACATGCGCTTTGGACCACACTTCAATGAGTTCCATGCTTCCTACAGATTTAGCCTGGTCACTAATTCTCGGCGTGGAATTGGATACCATATCTGCCTCATCAGGGAGAAGGATCATTACGATAGTGGAAGTGTAATGATCTGGGCAGGCTTTTTGTTGAGCGGCTTCTCACCTCTGCATATGTTTGACAAATGTTCCGCAGGTGATTTTACTGAGGTATAGAACGGAGATATTAGAGCCCTATGTTCGACTTCTCAAGGAAGCAGTAGATTCTTGTAATCAATGAAAACGCTCGTAGACATATGACTAAGCTGGACGACGATTACCTGGAAAATGAGGATATTAGCCACAAGGATTGGCCAGCCAGTAGGGGCGTAACTAGAGGGGGGCAAGGGGGGCATATGTCCCCGGACGCAGAATCCAAGGGGCGCCAAACTGATCTTACGACATTTTAGAATTAAATGTTTTCCATCCTTAGCAAGCAGTAGGGGGCGCGAAATCTTCAGTTGTCCCTGGGCGCTGAAAACCCTAGCTACGACTCTGCCAGCCAGATCTCTGAAACTTAACAGAGTAGGTTTAGGACTCTTGGGAGGCCCATTTCATTTTACTATGCCCTTCCGCGAACCATGGCAGAGATGGAAAATGCTTACTGCTGGAGTGGTATCGACTACCTCATTGACTCCTCAACTGCATTCTGTCTAATATGTCGTCACGCTATGCGACTATCTGGCTGTGAAAGAAGACCATACCCTGTATTACACTCAGTTCGATATCGCAAAGTGGATTTGAGGCATCCTTGCGCTGCGAGTTTTATTGATAATCATGTATACATAAAATGTCTTTTGAATAGTACATCTTTTTCCCTCTCATAAATATATATTCATACCAAATTTCATTAAAAGCTGCCCATCCGTTTTTCAGAAATTCGACATAGCATTTTCTTTAATTTGCACACGAGTCTATCTTCAACTCAAACATTTTTGTACTTTTCATAAAACAACGAGTGATCATAAGACATCGCATCACCTGAATATAAATTTGCCAGCTATCCGAGTTCTTTTTTTTTTTTTTTTAATGAAAGCATTTACTTTTTTGAAATAAAATTTTCAGAATATCTAGCAAACATGCTGGATTCTCCGTTCTTGATTTTTAATAGGAAAAACTGTTTTTTTCCCTTAAATTTTCCATTTACTGGAAACTTTTCTTCCCATGTACCTATCTGTCCTTCTTCGGAAATAATACTATTCTTTTGCACGATAAGTTGTCTAGGTTTGTCGCTTCTCAAGACATTTTTTTTTTTTTTTTTTTTTTTTTTGAAAATTTTATTAGAATTTTGTGGATTATTCCTTCCGAATAAGAATTTGGATTGGTTCTCTTGTTTCCCTAAAGTGTAAGTGTGAGTGAAAGATAGTAATGGACGCGCATGTGATGTTTTCCTTCATATTTGATAGAGGTAGTCCTTGCGCATTTGTGCTTTGATTTCAAGCAGATACCTTCAAAGTTTAGATGTGATAGTGTCCCACCATAATCTAAGAATATCTTCGATATAATCCGAAAATTGAATAAAAATATTCCAGAAAAATTTCATAACCATCCAATCATATACTAGAATATGCATAGAATATCCAAATGTTCTCTTTCTTTCAGATACCAAGAATACTACTAAAAAATTCTTTTTTCCTTTTCGTATGCTTCTGTTGTAATTAAAAATTTTGTGTTAATCTCGTTCAAAGTATTGTTGACTTTCTTATCTCTCCTATCTCAAAAAATATTAGGTAATTCTACAAGTGATATTCGAACAAGAATGTGGTGGAAGATAATTGGTGAGTGGTACCTTGCTTCTCAGTAACCCATTAGATGGAGAAGAATGCAAGGAATTTTCTTATTCCTCACCTCCAGCTAGCAATAAAGAAGTGCGGAGGTGCGTAGCGAGGACATCGCTGTCTTTCTTATCTTTCCTGTCTAAAAAATATTGTATGATTTAACATACTTTCAGAAATATCCGAAGTATATTTTTCCCATGCTCTAGAAATTTGGGCTATAAATAGAAAAGAAATCTGTTACTTTGTCAATATAAAAAAATTCTGAGCTTCCATCCAAAACACCATCAAAATAATGAACTGTTTTTCAAGGCTTGGTATGCTTTTTAATAATAAACGAAAAGGATTCTACAATGTTGAAGAATATTCGCAAGATATGTACTTGGAATATTTCAAGCAGGTTTTTTCCAATAGATCGGAAAAATATTTGAAATTGCAGTATACTTGGAACATTCTAGGAATATTCTGCAAAAATCATAAAATATTCCCCAAAAGATCTGCCTAGACTAATCCAAATTGTTTGCGAATTGAAACTCCGAGCTGTGTGAAACAAAAGTATAAAAGTTATTTCATAAACTATTGCTATGTCATACTTTTCTTATATTTTTTACATTTTTTAGAATGAAGAGTGATTTTTCTCTCTTAATATATTTGCTGACAATAGTCGAAGATCCCGGTTTATCAAATGGCAACCGTATCCTAGGAGGAAGACTCAAGTGACGCTGGTACAGACCGATAAGAAAAAATAGCTGCCAGTTCCACCCGAAAACTCTGGTTACAGTTTTTATAGGCTCATGGTATCTAAAAACAATTAATGCTAGCAAATTGCTTTAAAATTATTTATTATTTCAAGTATAGGCCACTTTTTAAATTTGTTAAAACATTTGGAGTAAAAAATACAGCGTATTCAAGCGATTTTAAGTAATATTTTTTATAGGATTTTCTTAGTAGTTTATTTGTGAAAATCGCATGCTTATATGTTCTTAAAACTTTTATGGACTTTTATATACTTTTTGAGTTTAATTTTTCATAGGTTATTAATTCTAATTATCAAGGACTTAGGTACCTTTACATTTTGCATAATTATATAAAAGATTACATATTCTTCTATGCAAAATATTATGTTGAAATAACATAACAGGTAAGGTAAAAGAAGTAATCATATACAGGCAATAATGGAAAGATTTTATTACAATACTTTGGTATGTCTACTGGATTTAAATTATACGTCGTACTCAACTTCGTACAAATTCAGTTCTTGGTATTAAAAGTGCTGAAAGTTCTTATTTGACAATAATATTTATATAACTTACCACTTCGTGTAAAAACATTGGCGCCAATGAAGCAGAAACGTTAATCCTATTGGAAGGTATCATAACAGGTCTGACATGTTTATCATATTCTGCAAACAGGAACTTTTTAAGCTCCCTTTCAGATTTTTGCTCATTCAAACCTGTAAAACAAATGTAGGAAATGTGTGAAATTAATTGAAAAATGTATGTGAAATTAAGGATTGAAAAATATTTTGATATTTAATTGTAAAAGATGAAGACGACGGATTTCTGTTTCGGAGTCTTAGAGTAAAAGTTTTTACCCGCACGTCATAAAATAAAATATAAGTAAGTAATAAAGGAAAATCCACAAAGGAAGAAGAAATACAAAACAAAGCGTAATCAAAAAAAGAGCTACCAATTTTGAGGTGAAGAAATATACAAGCCTATTCTGCGATTTAGTTTTTTTTTTATTTATTTTTTATTTTTAGATAAAAAAGATGAATTAAAAAAATTAAGAATCGAAAAATTAGTTATACGAAATATTTTTTTTAATTCTATGTCAATGATATTGCAACACATAATAACGCAACTTGTGCAAAAAATTCAAAAATTACTAGTAAATTTAAGAACTTACTAATAAATTTAAGAAATTTTAATTGTAATCTTGCCCATCACACAAGTTTTATGTCGCGTTTGCTTACTAGAACTCTGCTTCCACGGACGCCCTCTGGCGGAAGAGACTAAAAGTAGTCAGTTGAACGGCTGATGCGTCTAACAGGTGTTGAAACGATAGACCGTCTCCGTATACATAATACTTGTATTCATTATAACTTGTAAATATTTTGTAGATATCTTTTATATGAATTAAAATTTCTTTAAAAATTTTATAGCTGTGTTTTGCAGTGAATCGAAGTTCATTATGGAGAAGGATACCGACAAGAAGGAAAGAAGGCAGTTCAGGGCAGCCCTATTTAGAAGGTAAGTGAACTTTCACTTATCTATTTAATGATCAAAAAATTTTAATAGTACAAAGTTGATAAAATTTTTAACATGGCGCCCGAACAGGAACTGCCAGTAACTGCGTTTTTCCTAACTATTGAAACTGTCTAAATTGATGTCAGTGATATCGATAATACATAAGCATAAATAATTAGTGAATTGCTGATACTTGTTGAATTATTGAATATTACATAATGACTGAATTCATCGGTACATTGAAAAGGAAACGCGGCCACATAAGGGCTGCCTTTACAAAATTAATTGGCCGAATCGAAACTGAATTACCAAAAACAGAAGTTAATGCGGAGCAACTAGAAATTTCCTTAGAACTCTTAAATGAAAAATCGAACGAGTTAAAACAAATAGATGCCGATATATAAAAATTAATAGACATAAAGGATATAGACCAGGAAGAGTGTTAAGAAGCACTGAACAGTTAAGTGAAAGTATTATAGAAAACGTTAAAATCGAAACTCATAATGTGAAGCTTCCTAAACTTACGATTCCGAAGTTTTATGGCGAGAGCTGCGAATGGCTGAAAATTTTGGAACACTTTTTCATCAGCCATACACTAAAATAATACGCTTGACGCTATAAGCAAATTTAATTATTTGAAATCCTTTTTGGGAGGTACTGCTTATAACACCATTGACGGTTTCGATTTAACCGAAGAAAATTACGAAACTTCAGTTAAACTCCTCACAGAAAGATTTGGAAATAAAGATGTACTGATAAACGCCCATATAGATAAATTACTGAAAATAAGACCTCTAAAAGATTCTAATGACATTCAAAATTTCCGTAAGTTATTCAATTATATACAGAAACATATTCGATGTCTTGAATCATTAAATATGACCTCAGAAACATATGGAGCTTTATTAACACCTATTTTGCTTAAAACATTGCCCGCAGATTTGGTTTTGGAATATAATAAAACAGTTCGAAAATCAAATTACGATTTGAATCACCTAGTGGAATTTCTTTCTGAACAGTTAGTTGCGCGGGAACGTACATTCCAGACGGTCCAGCCAAAGGCGGCGCCGCAAAAGCATAACAAACTGAGTGAAACCAGACCTATTGCGAAACACACAGCTTCGGAGTTGAACGAACGCAAGTTTGCGGGGGGGACAAACACCATGTGTTTTCTGCGACTCTTCTGATCACGAGTCTATAACGTGTAAACAAGCATCTTTATGGTCTACTGAGAAAAAAAGGGAGAAATGCAAAACGAAAGGAATCTGTTTTATCGCTGTTTACACCCCACGGCACCTTAGCTTTTAATTGCACTTCTAGAATAAGGTGTGAATTATGTAAACAACGACATGCCACTATAATGTGTTTTAAAAACGAAAACGGAGAAATTAAGGAAGAACAAATTGAAAATAAGGCCTTAATAATTCATCCTATGAAAGTGTAATCTTGCAAACTTTAATTGCCAATGTTTACGGAGATGGTGAAAGCAATTTTATACGAATAATTCTGGATACCGGAAGTAGCAGATCATATATCAGCACATTTCTTGCGGAGAAATTAAAACTAAAATTTTTAGGTCAGGAAAGTGTGACTCGTGGGCTTTTTGGAGGGATAGAAAAAAAGGGAAAATCACAACAAGTATCTGATTAAGTTGAATAATCCAGAAACAGGATTCACACACGCGAAATGGAAGTTTTGAGCCAAACAACCATATGCTCACATATTCCAAAATTGGAGGATAGGGACTGCATAAAGAAACTAAGAGGTTACAAAATTTTTCCCAGTGATGTAACTAATGAGAATTCTTGTTTATTTGAAAAACACCCTAACGAAATACACATGCTTGTAGGAGCAGATTATGCCGGAAAACTCTTTACAGGGGAAATAAAACACGTAACGGAGAGTTTAGTAGCGATGAATACACACCTTGGTTGGACAATATTAGGGAGAACAAGGGTAAAGGGAAAGAATTTCATTTATCACTACACATTTGTGACTTGTGGTCTCTTGATTCTATCGGAATAACTGAACCAGCTCTTTCGCAAACAAAACAAGAAATAGAAAAGGCTACAGAAAATTATTTCATCCGTACTTTAGAAAGAGATGACGCTGGAAGATATCAGGTGTCACTTCCATGGCTTCAAATTCATCCTGAGTTGCCAGCTAATAGAATCCTTGCAGAAAAGAGTCTGAAGTCTTGCGTGAAAATCTTCAGACAAAGAATTCCTTAAAAGCCTACGAAACTGTTTTAAAGGATTGGGTAGAAGAGGGAATAATTGAACCTATCGATATTTCGGAGGCAAAAAAGATCAAAGGGCATTATCTGCCACATAGAGCAGTGTTTTGGGAAAATTCTACTACCTAAATTCGACGCATCTGCAAAGGAGAAAAATTCGGTATCTCTGAACGACTGCCTGGAAAAGGGTCCTAATTATCTTGAATTGATCCCCAAAATTTTGACAAAATTTCGAGAGGGGAAGTATGGAGTAATTTCTTATATAAAAAGAGCATTTCTTCAGATAGGTGTGAACCCAGCGGATCGAGATTTTCTCCGGTTCCTATGGTGGGAGAAAGGACAGCCTGAAAAACTGACTATATATCGGCACCGAAGGGTTGTATTCGGCGTAAACGCCAGCCCCTTTTTACTCGCTGCCACGATTAACTACCATTTGGAAAATGTACCAAAACAACATCAGGAAATAGCTTCAAAGCTAAAGAAAGCCATGTATGTGGATAACTGCGTAGCGAGCGTGGAATCAATTGAAGAATTAAACTCATTTATCAAAGGATCTAGAGAAATAATGGCTACTGCAAAATTTGACCTAAGAGGTTGGAAACATAATAGACTTAAAAATGAAACTTCAATTCTAAACCTTTCTGATAAAGATTTTGAAGATATTGGGTCAATATTGGGATTGAAATGGGACTTGTTTGACGATACTTTGTCTTGTCACGTAAAATATGAAGAAAACCCTGTATTGAGCAAAAGATCTGTTCTTTCCGAATTGAGTAAAATCTTTGACTCAATTGGGTTTACTAGTCCAGTTACTCTAATGCCTAAACTGATTCTGCAAGAATGCTGAAAATTTTGAATCATGGACGGATTCCACAAATATGCGACCTGCTTTTCTTTTGGAGTAAAACAGAAAGAAAATTGGAGATACTCACTTTTGTAGAGCCAATCGAGTAAATGAGATTCGAATAATTGAGTAACCCCAGATCACTGGCATCACATTCCCCCGAAAAGTTTAAATCCTTCGGATTTGCCATCACGCGGTTGCTCTGCAAAAGAATTGAGGAAATCCGAATGGTGGAAAGGACCAGATTGGATTTATCGACCTCCAGAAGAGTGGCCTATTGCAGATGGAGAACATCCTGACTTCGATATAGTAAATGGAGAGAGAAAACGAACTGTGGTTTCAGCCAGCAATAACACGAATACAGATAAATTTAACCTTTTTGACAATATTTCAAAATTCGAAAAGATCATAAAGGTCGTATCTTGGATCTTTAGATTCATTAAAAATGCTACAACACCACCATCTGAAAGAACTCATGGGAGAATTTCAGTCGAGGAACTAAAAGGAGCTGAAACAGTGGTTTTCCGACTCATCAAACGAGAATCTTTCGAAGGATTGAAAGATAAAAGAATACGTGCTCTAGAACCTATCATGGACTCCAATGGCCTTATAAAAGTGAAGACACGTATCTTTCAGAGAGACGATGATGCTGACTTTCGTTACCCAGTTTTACTTCCCTCAGAACATCCATTAGTATTAAAACTGATCAAATCTGAACATGAAAGGCTAAGTCACGCTGGAGTACAGTTCGTTATGTGCGCTTTGCGTGAAAAATATTGGATCATAAAGAGTAGGAAGACCGTACGCAAGGTTATCCAAAACTGTGTACGATGTCGAAGGTTCGACTCTGATTCATATAAGATTCCTCAAGCGCCACTACCTGAAGACAGAATAAGAGATGCTTTAATTTTTGAGATTATTGGTGTTGATCTGACGGGTCCCTTAATTTTAAAAGGAGGCCAAAAAACATGGATCGTCATTTTTACTTGTGCAATATATAGAGCAGTCTCATCTCTATCAACCGAAAGTTTCCTGCATGCGTTCAGGCGATTCATTGCTCGATTGTTCAGGGTTCCATTGTCGGAGTATACCTGTCACTGTATACTCCGATAATGGAACCAATT